TTCGAGTAGCTCTAACCTCCCGGCTAGCTCTTTACGCTGTAGTAACCTTATTTATTACAGTAATGCGCTATATATCCCTAAGGACTATATATTGCGTACGTAACTAATACGTATATACTACGACGACCCTTTAGCTAGACACTTTAGTATAGCTAAGACTATAGACCTAATATGCCGAAAGTACTTCTAGCCGAAGATAGCCGAGAATATTACAGCCTATATCCGTACCTATAGAATTTATTAATAGTCGAAGGCGAAGCGCTATCGCCTATATAGCGAGCTCGCTACGCTGCCTATACTAACCCGACTATAGTAAGAATTAACGATAGACTTTATTACCGATCTCCCGCTAAGTAAGCTCGGTACCTACGTATATACTGCGATCCTCGTAATAGTCGACCGCTATACGAAGATAAGCCTTTTTATCCTAACGACGAAGAAGTATATAGTAGTAGAACTCGCGGATATCCTTTAAAGGGAGGTAATTAGGCGTTTTAGAGTACTATTAGGCATTATTAGCGATCGTAGATCGCTTTTTACTAGCTAGTTTTAGAGCGACTTCTACTTCGAAGCGTATATAAAGCGTAGGCTTAGTATAGCCTTCTACCCTTAGACCGATAGGCAAACCGAACGCGCGAATTAGACCCTCGAGCAATACCTTCGATACTATTACTCTAAGAATTAGGATAATTAGGCTAAAATATTGCCTTAGGCGGAGTTCGCCTATAATAATAGCGTTTATCCTACGTTGCGTATAAGCCCCTTTAAAATACTCTATAGTTTCAATCCTAATTTAATGCTAAGCGTAAATAAGCTACTAGCTTAGGACGAGCTAACTAAGGGAAGGGCACTAGTAGCTATCGACGCTACGGAGCGACTACGGAAAGCATATAAGACGCTTGCGGAACGCTAGTAGAAAGTAGTAGAATACTAGGCTAAGTAATATAATATATACTATACTACTAAGATATATAGTATAAGCGACCTAGTCTTGCTATCGATAAAGAACATTAGCTTAAATATCCTAAAGAAGAAACTTAGCCCGAAGTATATAGGGCCTTTCCGTATTATTAACGCAGTTAGAGCGTAGGCGTACCGCCTAGTACTACCGTTAAGTACGAAGATCTATAATGTTTTCTATATTTCCCTCCTTAAGCCTTAGTATAGGCGCGATAGCGAGGAGTATAAGGTAAGTATACCTGTCGCTAAAAGCGATAAGTAGTAGGTAGAAACAATCGTAGTAAAGAAGATAAAGAAGCGGAAGGCGTACTACCTTATTAAGTAGCGAGGTTAGCCTAAAGAATATAATACTTAGGAGCTAGCTATTTATATTAAAGATTCTATAGCGTTAGACGAGTTCGAAGCTTAAGCGAAGCGTAAGCGTAGGTAGTAATTAAAACAAAAGAAAATGAAACTTAAGAAAAATAGTAGATACGTACTCGTTTCGCTACTAAAAAAGGCCTATTAGCCTAGTATATATAAAGAAGGCGCCGCGTAGGCGCGGCGACGGCGGGCCGCCTACTCTACTTATCCTTAGACTCCTCCTCTTCGTCCTTCTCTTCGATATCTATAGCGGCATCGATAGTAGCGACAGCGTTAGCGCCGACGCGCTAAGCGAGGTTCTAGTATAGTTAGTATACGAAGCGTAAGTAAAACGAGGCTATAGGAAAAACTATACCTAACGACCGATCTCTACTAATCTAGCTAAGTTAGTGCTGATATTCTTAAGGGTACCTAATAGGTTAACGTCCGTAAGGGACCCGCCGGCGGCCCCCTTATAAGCTAGGGCTTTGCCGCCTAGGGTTACCTTATTCTTATTAATATAGAAGGCGTCGAGCGTAGATAGGATAACTAATAACGAGGTTAGTATACGAAGCGCAAGTAGAGCGTATAAGAAACCTACATACGACGACGGCGTCTAGATTAGCCTAGAGTGCCTCTAAGGCCTCGTTAGACTCCTCGACGGAGTCGTAGCCGTCTAGGTCGTACAGGTCGCGCGCCGCGCGTATAGCGCGAATGTAGGCTAGTAGCGATACTAGCGCGCGTACTATAATAGGAGTATAGGTATAATAGCTACTATAGTAGCGATTATAGTTGCGCTTAGTAGTAGGGTCTATATTGCCGCCTACGTAGAGCTTAGATAGGTTATCTAAAGCGAGTTAGTTACGAAGCGCGTATACGTAGTAAAGGGCGAGAAAACGTACTATTAGCCGTTATATACCTAAAGTGACAAGTATAGCCCTCTAGGACTTTTAGTAGGCGCTAGGCAAGCGTAGTAGGTATCGAGGGCGGTACGCCTACGGCGCGCTTACCTAAGGTACGCGAAGGAGTAGCTATACTAGTAATGTTTCCCTAACAGATATTCGAAAAAGAAAAATCTTTAAGTAATACTAGAGGGGCGTAAGGGGGAAGTAGATAGGGGGCAGGCGGATAGTATTCGAAGCGCTTAGAAAAAGAAGAAGTTTTTAAGCGGGCTTCGAATATTTTAAATACTTGCCTCGCTTTCGGACAGCTTACATTCTTGCGTAGCTACCGCGTTCTTAGAAATTTAGGCAACCTCTAGTTAGTACTAGAAGTAGCCGCGCTTTAAATCTATAAACAAACAAGCAACTACGAGGCAGATTATAACGTACCTAGCAACTATAGCCTAGCGATAGGTGTATATAAGACGCGCAAGTACAGCGCAGAGTATAAGAAATAGTATAATTTACTATATTGCCCTATAGCTAGGACAGCTATACCGGGGGAAGGAGATAATTATAAGAACCTAAGCAAGTAAAGTCTCCTATTATACCTTAGCAAGCCTATATAACAATTATGTAATGTTATTATATATACTACGGTACTGTCTCGCTAGCGCAAAGCCTACTTAGCGTATACGCGGAAAAGCTCGGTCGCTTATATAGACACACTCGGTTGCCGGCTCGGCATGTGTACTACCCGTACGTAGCCTAGTTAATAGCAAACGCTCTGCCCTATTCTAAGAAAAGCACGGTTTAGTTCTACTTTCTACTACGGCGATTAGTAGAGGGTGTTCTATACGTTGCTATATGCCTATTTTCTTGCGAATATGTAGCAGCGGTCTAGTTTAAGGACTAGTTCCTATCTTAGTTTAGGTCGTATCTTAGATATCTAGATAGAGTCGGTTTTAGGTAGCAAATCGTCCTTAAGGGTCTTTAGATAGGCCTCGAAGGATCGAGAGGTTTAGTCGGCCTTTTGTTTAGTATGTAGGTATTAGTCTTAGGCGTACTACTAGCGTAATATAGGGTTGCTAAGGGTATTTAGCATAATAGTCTTGTAGTCCTGCTATTAAATAGCGGTCTAGTCGTAAAGGGAATCAAAATAGTTATCCTATATACGCTTAGGGTTACCGTTAATATACTATATAGTATAGACAACTAAGGAATAGTTATCTAGTAGCGCTCTCGGTATATTGCGCTAGTTGAGCTTATAGTTACGAATATAGTTATTGTATTGCTTCCGACTAGAGCTATTAAATACGGTGTAGTCCTTAAGTTTAGTATCCTTCTTCTAGACTAGGACTAATAGTAAGGAAGGCCCTACTATCGGCTTAGTGTTAGTTATTAGAGCCTCCTAAAGGCGGCGGATTTCGAGGAGGTTATCCTTTAGCTATTGTTCTTAACGTAGAGCAGCGAGCTTGTTTTAGGTAGCCTCTTAAAGCCTCGCTACTAGCTAGGGGCTAAAGGCTAGCTAGTTATATCGACGGTTAACAATATTGCTAAGAATATCGTTAACAGGCAACGATAGGTTATTCCCTTCGATTATAGGTTCTTTAGAAGGCCCCCTAGTAGGTTCTTTAGTAGAAGGCACTTTAGTAGGCAATATACTACTAGTATTGTTATTGCTAGCACTACTAGTAGCGCTACGGTTGTTGTTATTGTTTCGTAATAAGCCGGCTATTATAAGGGGTAACACTAATAATATATTATAGGCCCCTAAGATACGGATATAGCGGAATTAGTAGATATCGGCTTAGTACGATTAACTTAGTATAATAGGCCGTATAGAAGGCCTTGCTTAATAATTAGTACGGTTGTTTTAATAGAATAGTACGTATAGGTCCCGTTCTTCGGGCGTAATATAGTTAAATCGATAGTTTTTATAGCTATACCGCTAAGAGCTTGAAATAAGGACTATCTAGCTACTACCCTTAAAGGGTAGATCGAATACTATATAAGAAGGGTTATATTAGTAGGTAGATAGGGTAGTAGTAGATACAAGTAGTATTTAATAGAGAACTAGGAAGAGAAGGAGGAAGGCAGGCTAGTTAGCCTAACGCTAAGCGCTAAGCCCTACCTAAGGCACTAAGACCCTAGCTTTACTCGGCCTAATTATATACTAGTTACGTATAGCCCCTTTAGCCCTAATATATATAAACTATAAGCGGGTAACGCCTAATTAGCTCTTCGTAAACTACTATAATTAATATAGCAAGTATAATTACTAATACTAGGGCTAGCCGAGGTTATATTAGTAATAGCTAGATTTACCCTAAAATATCTATTAGTAGTTATTATAACCGTAACGCTATCGAAATGCTTATACTAAACTACGAATACTATATTCTAACTAGATATTAGGTAGCGAATACAATACGTATATAATCTTATAAAAAAGAATATAGGGTTATAATACTAGGGGTAGATTAAGAAGGATAGGATCTTTACTCGAGCTATCTATATTAGACGTTTCTCTAGATAAGACTCTTTCGACTGCTTTAGTTAATTATAAATCTTAAAGCTTAATACGTTATTAGCTAGAAACTCTAGTTAAGGACTTAAGACTATAGTCCTTTCTCTTTATTAAGGCAAAAGCTTAAGATAGATAGTAACAGAACCCTAAACTATCGGATTAATCGAAAGCAGTTCCCTAAAAGCTAAAGCCTTAGTTATCGAGTCGATATCCGGACTAGGCGTAATTGACTAAGCTAATAAGAACCACATCTGATTCTACTTAAGACGGGCAGCTCGCACGCACCCCTATTCCTCTTCATCCATACAGGTAACCTTCCACTTCTGAGCTCCTATAGGAGCACACTCCACACTCCAGTGATAAGGAATAATGGTCCGGGAACTCACCTGAACCATGGAAGGCGTAATCGGAACGGCAGTCTCATTCTTCCCCACAACCTTTTTCTTGGGTCGGTTCTTGTGTTCATGGATGCCGTGACCGTCTCTTCTGCGGCTCGAGCCTGATGATCAGGCTCATCGATGTGCTTTATCTTCCTAGTTTCATCTGTTTCACCCGTCCTGCTATTTTTCTTCTTTTTGACATCCTTTAAGTCAGCCTCTTCTTCCCCATTATCCATACCAGCCACCTTAGCTTTGGACAGTCTAGATCTCGTTGACTTCTTTGTGCTTCCGCTCCCGCCTGCTGACTTGCTGATATTCGTACCGTTCGCCGTGGTTGTGTACAGCACTCTTCCCATTTCCAGCACACTGTGGAAACGTGCATAGCTTCATAAAACCTGAGAGCCAGCAATATTTGAGCTGCGAGTGGGTCAGGTTATTGATCTGGTAGAGATGGTCAGCGGTCGATCACGCAAATGCCAATTTGACAGAATGGAGCTTGCCTCGATCTTTCTCATTACATCCAAAAAAAATCGTCCTATATGCTAAAAGTGCGTAATTGCCGATACTCATCAACTGCTATGGAAGACTCTTTGCTCACTTACCTACTGCAGGTAACCGTCATTGACGCTACGAAGACAGGTGACTATGTAGGCCTATTGGGGCCAGTCCAGTCAACACATGGCATCACGGAGATCAAGAAATCATTGATAAAGATCTTATGAGCCCTTGCGCTTTGGTGTCAAGGCTGTAGTCTTCTGCTGTGCCGCAGAAGATCACTGGTCTGCTTTGTCATCCATACTAGGCCATGCAATTGCCAGTATGAGAGGTCAGCTGTACTCAGCCGGAATTGTTCATTGTCAATGCTCCAACGGCTTGCGCTCGTAGTCGTGGCTATGCAGCATGACGCAACGCCTGAGTTCGGAGGATGTTCATGAGATTGGATTTGACTACCAAAACAGTTGCGGTTGCCAGGTCACTCCCCTGGGCTGTAAGGGCAGCTTCGATCGCATTTCAGAGGTGAATCGTCGGAAAGATAGTCATCGGCTCGGCTGATGGCTAACCAAACCATGAACAATGTCAGAAGCATGCACCCGAATGAACACAGCGCAAGAAACCTTGGGGTGCATCACGTTCTTTCCTGGTCAGCATCGTCGAGAACGACATCTCGAGAGAGCGGTGAATGAATTGTCTCGGGACAGTCTCTGAATGATTCCCCCTTTAGGTACGTCTCGCCGACAGTAAGAACACGACACCGGAACGCTTCGGAGCCCTGGTATATCATATCGGAAAGAACAGGGCCGAAGTGTGCATAGAGGCAAGTCATTCCGGGAGGTATGCGGCGTATGCCAACCAGGGTGTACTGGAGAGGTCAGTGGTTGGCCTGAAGCTCGCCGTAGAAGCTCTCCACCATATTACTTGCATACCATTGCCAGCACTAAATTCGGCTTCGCAACAAGCGATGATCGGACCGTAGTCGGCCAGCTTGCTGCATGTCGCGCATAGCATTCCTGATGTTTCGGCCTCATTCGTCAAGTCTGCAATTGCTGGCATTGCAGAAGCTGGGGTAGCTCCAAGCTGAGACTGCGATAAAGCGTGGAGTGATGATAGAGGATTGAATGCTTGTCTGCTCTGATACCATGCGATCGCGATTGCCTCGAGCTCCTAGAAGAGTGAGATTGCGATAAGTAAATTCGTTGTTGAATGCTGAACGACACGACCCATATTTTCTTGAGACCAGAGCGGGACTTCCAGGATACAGGAGCGGTTGCTGCTGTCGTCAGCGTCCCAAACATCGGTACCTCTATCGTACGTGGTGGAGCACTTGAGCTGTTGACAATTTAGAGTGCTCAACCAGCGGCTGGCAGCTCAGCGTATCGAGACAGGGCCGAGCCGACAAGGAGATGCGTGGGGGAAGGAACATGTATTGCATATTGATGATGAGTGGGCCATGATTATTATCTTCGTCAGTTCGTGGCACCTTGGAATGTTCGCTTGAAGAGGCAGGATCGATGTTACAGAGAGAAAGTCACAAAGAGGAGACTTGTCCTTCACATGCAAAGCACGCCATGTGTATGTTGCTTCGCAGTGCTTGGCGTGACGGCTGTCAAGAGGCAGCCACCATGCAGGAGCTCCGTATATCCGTTCGTCATAGCAAGAATCAAATGAGGTTCGCATTGTTACACGACAGTAAGTTGTTCGAGCGCCGAACGGTCAACTGCCGAAGAATCATTCTCGCTGGTCCACTCCAGGTGAAGATTCTCTTCGACACGTTAGCAGTGTCAATAGCCTCGAAGAAATCTGGCGACATGGTCACTGAAAGATTCCCAACCTCTACTTTCCGCCACACTAGCCTCATGTTGAAGACCAGAGGAATATAGCGGTGGTGGGTCTAATTTGCCGAAATCGTATGGAGCGAACGAAGAGTGGCGCATCAAAGCAGTTGGGTGTCGTGCATTAATGCGAAGCAAGCCATCATGTCTAGCGATATGTATGCATTGCGTTGGAGAAAGAAGTGGGCCGTCGTACGCTGTGGAGACTCCGGATCCAACGCTGGTGGTGCAGCTTATTATGAATAATGCTAGGATCTTTGATGTGAGAAGGTTTGCAGTTCTGAGTCGTGTCAGTGAGGTTGAAGTTTGAGCAGGTACGCTCCGCTCGACGGATCTTGGCTTTTCTCTGAAACGAAACGTTGAACCCTCGAGGTGCATATAATTTCCTTTCTTGGTTGATCTACTCGCACCTCTTCCGGCCCATGGGACTGCCGTGCTCTGGCAATAATGCCGATCTACCGTGCGAGACGGCTTATCGAGGGCGACTGTATCGAGCTTCCCGTCCGTTCGTGCTGTATCGGCACGGGACGCATTGCAGGCAGGCAGCGGTCTCCTCGATCACGCATCCGAGGTTGCCGTTGCGGGTACAGTGCTGTAGGCCAAGTCTGGGCGGGGTGGGTCAGAAGGCGTGCGATGAGCGTGGCGTTGCGCGTATCAGGTAATAGAAAAGTGTGTCTTCACACTAAGAAGGGCAGCAATTTTTAGGTACCACGGCGTGGTCAACGTCGTGGCAAAGCAGAGCAGAATGTGCTGCAAGAATAGGGAGCAGTAGGAAGGACATTCTAGCAGTAGTATGTGGGTGATAGTAGTGTCGAGACGGCTTCGATCGAAAGCAGAACCGAGACATGGACGATCGAGGCCGCTGCAGGACCAGGACAGGAGTCCATACAGGAGCAGGGACCCTTTGTGTCTCGATTTGTGGGGAGCAGAATCAGTGGTATAGATAGATTGACTACTCGTACCGACGCAGCAATTCTGGCCGTGAGCGTGGAGCAGCAGCAGATGCATCGCGCACGCATCACGCACCGCAGTCGTCTACAATCAATGCACGCCGCTGGCCGCCACGTTGTGTGTACGACTGTCACTGACAGCTCTTTCTTCTCTGCTTGACCTTGTCCTTTGAGCCATCCTGGCCTGTTTCTGTCTCCCCGCAGCCGGCACACGCCACACGCCATCACCACAGAGTTCCTGCTAGCACCAGCACCAGCATTGCTTGCACAGCGCACCGCAGCCTCGAGGGACAGGGAGCATAGAGCAACTCTGCTACCCACATCGTCTCATACTCACTCCTCCTCAACATTATTATTATTGCTCTCCCACACCGCGCGCCCTCCTCTCGGCCCCCACCTCGACGACCAGCATTACCTCGACGCCGACACGTCTGCCACACACCCTATCTCTTCCGCGCACGACCACACTTCAGCATTGCCTATTGCGCAACTTCATATCTGCAGGCGCCTTGGTGAGCGGTGAAGCGTGAGACGCGGTCAGCGGCCAGGCCAGGCCAGGCCATTCCGGAGGCAGGACCTCGCTTCTCGCTGCCCATAGTTCTGCCGCGATCACTGCTGCTGCTGCTGCTGTTGCTGCTGCAGCACACGGCTAGAGCGCCCTGCACGTTCGTTTCGTGGCCTCTAACGTCGGAGTCGCACTCGCTACCTATGTGCTAAGTGTCGTCCACTTGCGCAATGACCGAAGTCCTGGGCATCCCCAGACAACCAGACGGCCAGTCGTTCTATCAAAGCTCTGCGCTCAATCCTTCCCCACCATCTTCCTCATCACTGTTCTTGGACACGCCTCCACTGTCGTCGAGCCCCAGCACACCTCATGCCGAACACCAAGAACGAACGTCGGATTCCCGCCCATTCCCACCCTCGGCCACCACGTCCTTCTCCAATTTCTCCAGCGCGACATCCGACGACTCTACTACGGCCAGCACAACATCGTCCGTAAGCAGTGATTTATCATTGGATACCGACATTACCTTTCCAAACTACGACGGCGACATTGGCGTGCCTCCATCCTCTCCCGCCTTTGGCGACGTCGACGATAATTGCAGCGAACCACATGAATCCACAACTACGGACACAACCATATCAGAATCACCCTTACCCACGCCGACCATCGTCGACGACTCTGCTGTGCGGCAAGAGCCGTCACGTCAGGTTGATTTCTTGAGTCATGAATGGAGAGAGGAAGACATATGGTCATCATGGCGAAACATTGTCTCACAAAGAAAGACCGTGTATGGAGAGCGCTCACGACTTGAGAACGCCTCATGGAGGACCTGGGCTAAAGCGAAGTTCGACCTCCGGACTGTATCTCCCGAGCAGCTAAATTGGTGAGTGTACAGCCTCAAGCTTCCAATTGCACATTACTGATCTGGAACAGGCTCAAAGAGTCCGACGTAACATGGCTTTATGGACCCTTGAAATTGGCGCCCTCGTATCCCATCTCTGAACGCAGTGGTTCACACTCGAATCACAAATCTCCAAGAGCAATTCCTTTATCAACAAGAAGCCTATACTGAAGAAACGCAGTGTATCGGAAGTGATGCTGCAGAAGTCGCTTTCTACCTCTTCATTGGTAAAGCAAGCAGCTGCTCAAGTCCAAGCTCAAGGCAGAGAAGGCAGGAGGTCGGGCCCGGAAGTCATCGACTCGAAATTGCAATCCGAAACTCCGAGCCGGGATCAAGTTGACTATTTCACAAGCTGGAACAACAGCACTGGCGGTACGCCATGCGAAACGCACGAAAAGCGACACATTCGATTTGATGACCGGGTAGAACAGTGCATCGCCGTCGATTGCAAGGATCCAGGACCGGAAGACGAGGATGAAAGCGACGATGAAGAGGTCAATGGCCAGACTTCGAGTTCAGATTCCAGCAGTGACGACGGAGTTGTGATGATGAAACGCAAGAAACGCTCAGGACCTAAGAAGTCGAAGAGTGGAAGTCGAAGTAACTCCGCGAATGGTCGAAGGATTATCGAGACGCTACCGGCTACGACTCTGAAGTATCGCACAGACAGCCCTGATGTGACTGAAGAGGCGCAACACCATACCTTTGGCCGGTCGTGGAACTCCAGTAAACTCAGTCCAAGCCCGTCGCAGGAGACTCTTCGACCAGCTCGTCACTCGAGCAACTTTTTACTGCCAGGCGATGAGGATGAAGCAGAAGAAGACGATATCGACTCAGATTCTTCGTGGACTTTCGGCGCAAGTAATAACAAATCTGCTCTCGGAACACCGAGTAGCCCAACTTCCCGAAGCAGCCGTAGCAGAAGTAGTACGCCAGGCCCGCGTGAAAGTCATTATGAGATCGAAGGCATGCGACGTACCGAGAGTGGTATGTTCATGCCCTACGATGACGATGAGGACGACATCATTGCCGCGGGACTCTTCGGCCGTGTGAGTGAGACGATCAACACGGCCAGAGACATCGCCCACGTCATTTGGTATGTATACTCAAATCATATCTGAATGCCCACGTTCTTGCTAACAAGGGAATAGGAACGTTGGCTGGCGGAAATGAAGCTGCTAAAAGTTTCGACCAACTGTACATGCTATAAAGCAACCTATCAGGTGTGCCACAGGAGTATTGACGGCCTAGCCCGATGATGAGTCCAGTCAGCTGAAATGAGCTGCATCAACTCAACACGCCATCTCCCATGCCAAAGTCGCTGCCTGCAGATCTTACTCTGTTTACCAAAAGGAGTTCCAGCAAGCATGCAAGGCCACCACGATCATGACGAAATGACCAAATGTAATCAGCCCAAGTGGGCACTGTGCACATAGATCCGGGAATATCGCGGAGTATATAATGGAGGATGGATGCTCTGGTATGAGTTTGACCCAGATGCGCCGCGCTCGGGTTCGAATTGCGTGTCGCGCATCCGTATTTATCAAACAACGATGCAAAGGCGTCTTTTGCCTTTACTCCCCGTCCTTTCTAGATGCCACTTCCTCTCTGCATTGCTGCAATCCTGCAATCCTGCTCGTAAGGTATCGTTGCAGTGACGACTCTCCGTTTTATATAAGTGCAACATGTCTTCTCATCATCGTTATCTCAATCGCCCTGTCCGTCCGTCCGTGCACCTCATCTCAATTTAAGCCTTCGCTTCGCCTCGCGTGTAGCGTTCAAGGTTCCTGCCAGCCAACCTCCTTAGAGCATGTTTCGGCATGCACGCTTCCTCTTCTCCCTCCTACTCTTCATCGTAATCTGCAAGTTATCACAAGTCCTGAGCGAGAAGGGAGATTTTCGAGTGTGAAAGAAAGAGAGAGAGAAATAGTGGGGGCATGGAGGAGCGGCACAACTTCGAGGAGCGCCCGGATGTCGAGTCGTTGGTTGCTGGACTCGTGGCTGAGAGCGAAAGCGCACGAAAGTATGCGGTTTTCAAGCTCAAAGGCCTTCTGAGCGATCCGTCCTTTTCAGATGCTTTCATACAAGCTGGCGGTCTACCTGCCTTGCGCCAGGCGGTTTTGGACACTTCGGGCAACACACAGGCCTATGCGCTGGGCAGCTTGGATGCGCTGTTGGAGCTGGACATTGGTTGGGAGTGCTGCGATGAAGAGGTTCTGGAGAAGGTAGACATGGCTACATGGAGTCTGCTTTGGACTGACGGAAGCTGACCATGGCCGTAGGCATTGTCTCTAGCTATCTCTCATCCCCTCGTCAACATCGTTCGCAATGCGCTCACTCTTTTGGTCTTGGTAATCTCGCGACCCGCGCATCCACGAGACTCGAGCGAGGGCGCTTCCGGAATCCGTACTTTGAAGCCAGCGCTGGATAACCACCCACAGTTCCTAGAGTCACTGGTGCAGCGTTTGAGTGCTTCCGACCATACTCTCTGCGCCAATGCCCTTCAGCTCGTCAACGCCTTGATGAGAGATGCGATCACAAACGGCGGCGAGAACGAATGGCCGAAATTCGTCAAAAAATTGCAAGATCTTGGTGTGATTGGTGGAGTGGGTATGCTGATGCGTGGCGACGCTGCCAACTATGCAGATAGTCCTCTCGCGATTGCCATCCTAGAGTTTCAAGGCCTGACCAAAGTCCTACTGCGGAAGTGGAGAGATGTCATGGTCAATGTTGAGCTTTCCGAGCACAAGCGAGCCTTGAAAACAATCCACTTGTTAAGCAAGCCAGAACCATATGCTCCGCCGGTGAGCGTGAATGGAGCCAAGGTCAGGAAACATCATCCAGAGAAGTGGCGAAGGCTAGGGTTCGAGACTGAATCGCCTGCCTGGGAATTCGACGAGACGGGTTATCTTGGAATGATGGACCTGGTTGAGTACACTCGACGTAACGAAGACACTTACCAGAAGATTTTGATGGAACAGTCTACGCAACCACGAGAATTCCGATGTCCTATCGCGCGCGCCAGTCTAAGCGTGACCTTGGTCCTGTACGAACATTTCGAGATCGATGATAGCACTGTCGATGGCTTGCGCGACAACGGCTTTGACCGCGATCAGAGCGTTGACAGATTGTACAAACCGCTTCTGCTCCAGTGGGGACGCCTGCATACTGCTGCCTTGAATGCTTTCATCCGGCTGTGGAAGGATGCAGGTGCCGAGCAGCAGGACATTTACAAAATCGAAGAACTGGTGCGAATCGTTGTCGAGCGGATCGTTGGCTCCGTCGGGCGGAAGACGGATGTCAGCAAAGTAGAGGAAGAACTTCGCGTGGTCAGTCTCGAGACCGCTCGGCGTTGGCAAATGGAAACCCTCAACGATGTCTACCAAGATGCCTGGGGCCCACATCTGGTTCAAGTGCGGGAACAACTCCATCACGAAAGCTTGCAATTCATGAAAGAGCAGCGGATCCGATGCATGCTCCAAGGTTCTTGGTTCCCCACGTCAGCAGTCTCTTCGCCCGAAGTCGCCTGGCGATTTGTTAGGTTAAGCCATAACCGAAGATGGCTACACTACGAAACCTATCCTGTGAAAGGCGATACCGACCCTCCCCTCACCGACCTGCACGAAAAAATCGACCTCAACCTTGTCACGTCCGTCGACAGCAATGTTTCGGCCGCCGAACAGCCTATCAGCATCAATGAAGAACATCAAAGCTCGGAAACTCACGAAACGCTAAAGATTTCTTCTTCGATGCGAGAATCTTCCTCTAACAAAATCTCGACGACTAAGATCACCATCCTGGGAACATCATCTAAACCTTCCAAGCTTGACAATGATCAAAAAGAAGAAGAGCGCGTTTTGCTTGAATTATTCCCTAAAACTTCGTATTTGGCGTCCGAATGGTTGGATGGTCTTCTCATGCTTCTCAACCAGCAACCCATTACGAAGGATACTACGAGATTGATCGAAATGATGGAGGATTGGGGGGTGAGGTTACGGATGTTGAATCTCAGGTGGGAAGATGTTGACTGGGAGGCGCTGGAGGCGAGTGTTAAGGGTGGTGGTGGTGGTGGGAAGCCTGTGCCGAGTCGGGAGGGGTTGGATGAGGAGTATTGGTATGCTTTGCCGGATGAGGTGTGAGTTAAGAGGGATGGATAGATATTGAGGTTTTCTATTGATGTGTGTGTGTGTGTGTGACTCTTTGGATTTTCCATTGTATACAGACAGCCTCTTGTCGCATCGGAGTGAAAGCACTCAAATCCCCCAATCCTGGATTTCATGGTTCGCAACGAATTGGGAATCTCAATTCTACGGGCCGCAGGTATCCACTCTCACTCCGATGCGAGAACTTATTGGAAGACGCTGTACTGCATACTGGATGTGTGTATGCCTCATGTGAGCGAGGATTCCCTAGAAGGAAAAAAACCCCCCTCCAACTTCGGATTCGTGGTTTCGAAACGACAACAAGAGGGCTCTTGGATGATGACAGTTTACGGTCCGTGGCGGACCCTTGACCATGCGCAGGCCACGCGAGCATAGTCTGTCTTGTGACGGATGGCGAAACACATTAGATAGATGCGATGTGTCGGTTTGGTATAGGCCTTCCGCATCAATAATGCGATCGCGTGGGACAAAGAAGTGTTGTTTGCAGTAGCGTGTCCCCTCATCGTCAGCGGCTAAAGCGTTCGCTGATTTGCACGCGAGCGGCAGAAGGATGGCGCGTGTACGCAGAGGCCAGGGGTATTTTTGGAACTTCGACCAAGCCTTCCTTGAGATCGCTTTACGGCAGGGTTTTGACTCTTTTTTGACAGGTATGGTGAAACTCGTTAGGAAGGAGCGGGGCGGGGCGGGGCGGGGCGGGGCGCGTGAGGTGTGTGGACGTGCCGATGGACATGGTTACACGACTTGTCGTTCACGATACGGAATACATAGGAAGCAACGGTTGATTCGTAGGGGGGAGGGGGGGGGCCGATCGAATGCGTCTCCCGTAAGGTTCTGTTCTTGGCGGGGATTATTGGGCGGTGGGCGGTGGGCGGTGGGCGGTCGCGTTGTCACTACTACTGTCGCTAGCCGGGGCCCTGCTGACTGCCTTACGCATCGATCCTTCATCCTGGCGAGAGCAGGGCCAGCAAGATCGGGGTACCTGAATCTTCCATCTATCAATCATCTCCCCGTGCAGTCTCTTCAATGCAACTTTGGTAACTTAGGCTCCGTTTGCTTCGCGCGTTGCACACCCGCATTACTATTGCGGCACGGTGGCTTGCGGCAGCCTGCATTCGACCACGGCTCACCTCTCACAACGAGCTCCCCTCGTCTGCAAGGCATATTCTATCAGCATGCGCCCTGCCGTCCACTCCCCATCTCCCGGAGCCTCTCCATGCATTTCTCCGTCACATCGAACGCCATCGACTGAGCGCACTTCCACACCTCGCTCCCGTCAGCACTCTGACACTCCGCGTTCGAACCCGACCCCAAACATGCTCATCACGCCGGAGGAGTATGCCGCGCTGCCCCCGTCAATCCAGTGAGTCCCTTTCGTCACACCATGCCATGTCTCCCTCCTGATCCACTTCATCGTGCTCTCCGTGTCACCAAACCCCTCCGTCTTCTGGACCAAGCGTGCGAGCCCTTCCACAACTGGAAAATGAAGACAATGTCGACGCTCCAGCATTGCACACGTGAGATCCACCCGACTGACTTACTTGAAACCACCGTCCTCATTACCTCCCCGCTCACATGGCAACCCCACCAGATGTCAATGTTTCTGGCTGAGTGCTAATATGGGCGTGCAGGAAGAAGTACTTCTCGTCCGTCGAGCGGCTACGCATTGCACAACAGGCCGCCGCTCAAAAACGCAACAAGCAGAGCAACAAGGACCACTCATGGCTATCGCCTAAGCCATCCTTGGATTCCGCCAGGCCAAAGACTGCCCACTCATTCCGGCCGTCATCTTCCCTGTCGCACCTTTCACCATTCAGGAAACCCAGCCACTCTCGATCGGAAGCGGACGTAGATGAAAGTCAGGCCTTGTGGTTCCTGGCCCTGCCTGATAAATTGAAGCGCTCCAATTTCACTTCAGAGGAGCTCACACTGCTCACCGAGAGCTCAGAGCGAGTACTGGGCATCTCCACCACGTCGGAAAACAGTGTGTCGAGAAGGACGACTCTCGACCGAAATGAGAGCAGGATCTCATATCATTATCCGTCATTAGTTTCTGAGGAGTTCGAGGGCTTTGAGAAGGATTGGTCCTGGGTGGATTCGGAATCGATAATGACCTCCGAACCGGCACTTCACGACGTGGACTTTCTGAAGTTGTATGCTCGACAACGACAAGGATCTGAGAGCACCACGTATAGTTCGATATCGCCAGACACCGTGGAGCCGCGACCCGAATGGCGACGCAAGTCTTTCACACGCAAACGCGCAATCTCGTTGGCTCCAATACCGCTACCGCCACCCACCCTACTACCGGCGGTGCCACCTTTACCACAGCCCAGCACCTTGCGGTCCGTGGAGCATGTGCGGTCGCCGCCTCCTCTTCCATCACCCGTCGATTCTGCTACTGAGACAAAGTACTACAAGGACGTTTCCGCCCGCTCGAAGTTGCGTGAGTATCTGGCTTCACCTGAGAAATTTGACGAAGCGCTGGAATTTGGCTTTCGTCCTCATCGCACTAAACATGCACCTTCGATGGATGAATGCGATGACGATCTCAACGAGGATCTGGAGGAGCTATCGATTGCGAACAGCAAGGATGATGAGGAGATGTCGTCGACAATGTCCCCGAAGACACCTGCCGGTTCTGAAGGTATTTTTGGCCCATATTCCTCACCCAACTCTGGTAAAGTCTTGCCACCCTCAAACAAAGTGATGGCCCGCAGCCTAACGCCGGAATTGGGGGGCCGAGAGATGACCTTGCGCATGACTCTGACAAAACCGGAACTTCGAGCACCAGAGACCGAATTGTATTCTTTCCAGCGAAGAGGGGTATCTGGCGTGGACATAGAGACCAAGGATCGTCTCGCCCTTGATGGACTGCCTGTATGTGAAGATCATTCAGGCGCAGAGGGGGCGTTTGCGGTGTGGAGGACTTCCAAGGGTGGTTTCAAGCGGGCCGGGAAGAGCTTTGGCGGGCGTTGATGATTTTTTTATCACAAGCAGTATCGGTGGTATTTGTTTGTGTTTGCATGGAGAATTGATGCATTTCATGTAAGGGGTCAGCAAGCATTGTGGGGGGCAGTAGGATATCCAGGTGGGTCCGCGGCACCATGAATCAAGATTGGTAATTTAATTGTATCAGAAGCAATGCTACGGCATTATCACCTTGCAAGACATGCTCTCACGTCATGACGAGTGATGAGGTGGCGTGTAGACCTCAGCCTGATTAGTTCGTGGCTAGCGATGTTGGTCCATCCGGGTTCTCGAAGTTACACTGCGGTACACCTGATGGACAGTATTGGACCATTATATGACGTTGGCTGGCACGGGCTTTTGTACGATGGTCGGGCGAAGAGGCTCTCGAGGCTCTTTCGATGCCCACCGTTATCCACCTAGAGTCTCAGAAATTTTCTCTAGTGGAAATTTCGAGGCATACCAATGTCAACACTCGGGTTCCATGGAGTTTGTGGCTCGTGCTTCTGCATTGCTACATGTAATTCGTGGCTGTTAGAACGCAGCAAGCAAACGGACCGGGACAATTATTGTATAATAGCAGCATGAAATTCAGAGAATTAGAGAGAAATGATATCAAACCAGTGATTGATTTTATCTCAACCCTTCTCACGCCAAGGTAACCTCCTGTTCAACAGGAACCTCGTCGTCTATGCTGAAACCAACCGCATTATGACAACACCCTCACAATCCAAGCCACGTGTAGGGTATCATCAAGTACAATCATATTTCTTATTCGCCAACGCAGGCTCCTCGGAGCTTTTCGGCAGGCAGCAAGTATTCCCCTTCGAATCGTGATACCTGTTTTTTTTTGTATGCAGTCAGCGCGCCTGACTTGAAGACTTCTATTATGGAATCTATAACCCCCCACCCCGGCTTGCGTTGATAATGATAATAATAACTTACCACGTCGGCCCATCGTAACCTTAGGCATTGCACGCCACGTTTCCGTTTGTGATCTGTTATCCTTATTAGTTAGCGTAATTGTTGTTATTGTTATTATTATCTCGGCTTCTACAGTTTAAAAAAAGAACATTACCTTGCAATAATATTCCCTACTCGCTTTATCGCACATCACCTGCTGCCTAGCTAGGCACTTTATTGTAAGTTCGCCGGTATTTTAATCGTAGCCTGCTTTTTTCGGTATAGAAGGTAGAGGAGGAGGCTGTTTTTTTGCTAAAGAAAGAAAGAAAGCTATTAGCGAAATAAACGAATAATTATACGAGTATCTAATAAGAAAACGTCTTAGGGGGTTTTTCTCTCTCTCTCTCTCTCTATAATATATACCTTTAAGCTTCTACGGATTTTGAATTGTCTACTTCTTTAAAAAATTAGGGGGCCTAGTTGTAATACTACGACTTTATACCCGTCGATCTTTATCGTAGAGGCGAGGCTTAAGAGAGCGGCGATAATAGAAATAATAGACTTTATCGTAAGTAGGAGTAAGGGAAGGCTGTAGAGAGGCAAGCGTATAGAGTCGTAGGTAGTAGGTAAGAGAGAGAGAGAGAGAGAGAGAGAGAGAGAGCCCGTATTTTATATCTATTTGTATCTCTTGTTAGAAAGGTATAGGGAAGGGAGATAGTGCATTTCTATAACAGTCCTGTCCCGACCTCTCGGCTCTTTGCTTAATAGGCTTTTTTAAATATCTAATTCGTCCTTCGCGGAGTTAGGAAGGCTTTAACAGGCCTAGACAAAAGCTTCGTCTACTAGAAACAACGTGTGCACCCTATATAGCCCTATAACTAAATCAGAATCTTATCCTAATATATTAGAATCTTAGTTTTAGCCGAGAGCGGTATAACGCGTGTTTCTATAGTAATTTGTTAGGCGCGTCGCGTTCCCCTACTCTTGCACCGAATCTGCGCCTAGGATAGACCTTACTATCGCTATCGCTATCGCTATCGTCGCTATATTATCGCTGTCGCTACTATAGCTACTCGTACGGATAATAAATAGATAGCGGACCTTCTCGCTAGCCTCGACTCGCCGCCGCTACCGCCGGCGGTAGAGGTAGATAGCTCGGTAGAGGTAGATAGCTCGGTAGAGGTAGATAGCTCGGCGGAGGTAGACAGTAATAAAGAAGGGCAGAGCGACTCGGACGATAAGATAGTGCTTATACTAGAAGAATATTAGCAAATCGAGCTACCGTAGAGCTAGTCCTTCGAGACGTATAATAAACTCGAAGAATATATATAGAACCTAAGCTAAGAGCGTAGATTTAAGCTTAATAAGACTAGCTATAAGCGCAACGACGAATACGAGGTTATCTACTACGCCTTCCGCTATACGAAGTATAGTACGCCGAAGATAACCGCCGCTACGAATATAAAGAAGGAGGCGCGAAAGATCGCTAGTAAACGGTATAGAAACGCGCATACTAAGAAGACTAGTTGTCGGTAGTCTTGTCTAGTATTCGTAGACAATCCGGAAGAAGTTAATAGTTCTTAAACCTTATACTAGAACTAGAATAACTATAACTACGCCGCCGTAGCGCTAATCTGTCTTACTAACTATAGGCGGCGCTATCGCTACTTAAAGGTTATTAAGTTTATAGTAGATTTAAGAGCGAAGGGCAGTCTTATTGTCCGCTCTATTCGCGCTTAAACAAAATAGTACTTTTATAACCTAGATAACCCTTATTTTATACCGCCGTCGCTATAGGATATATTAAATGCATAGGCGAAGGCAAAGCGAGTTAAATTAGACGGCAAAACGGTAGTCGAGAGGTCGTTATAACAACTAAAGGAATAGGGCTGCTAGTTTAAGTCTAACTTCGACTTTATAGCGGAAGAATTAGCTAAGTTTACTAGCCTTAACCCTTAACCTAAAGACAGTAGTAACGATACTTCCGAAGCTACTAAAGACGACGACTCGCGCCTCTAATAGGTGTTCTTTGCTTACCTAAAGATAATTGAGTTCTATAAGCATTGTCCGGATATATTACTTAGAGACTATACCTATAAGACGAACGACTACGATTTGCCGCTCTTCGTAATAGCTTAGCTTAACTAGTTTAACCAAGTTATACTATTAGCTATAATACTAATAAACGGACAGGCGCAAGGCAATTATACTATCGTACTAAAGTGTCTTAATAAGATGCTAGAAGAACAATACTATAAGGAACCTCGTATGTTTCTATACGATAGAGACCGAGCGCTTATTAATGCCCTTTACCGTATGTTTCTAGAGCTTCTAACTATAGTCTGCCGCTAGTATATAAGATTAGCTGTTCTTGCTAATACTAAGTATTATATTAGTACGTACGTTAATCTAACGACTAAGCGACTAGAAGCTACGGTCGAGACCGAGTTCTTTATAAAGGTGTTTAATAAGGCTGTTTCGGCTTCTATAGAAGGAGAATTTGAATACTTCCGTAGCCTTATTGTCTCGCTCTCGAAGGGTAAGCCTATTCTAGAGGTACTAGAAGAAGAAGGTCTATACTTACTTAACGTTAATAGCTAGATAATTATAGCCGATTACCTAGACCGAGAATAGTAGCTATATACTAACAAGGCCGTTAAATGCTAGGTCGATAAAACTAGGCACTTCGGTAATATAATAACGTCGCCTATCGAGTCTATATACGCTAGATTAAAGGCCTTCCTTACTACTTCGAAGAGCGATATTCTCACCTTCCTCGACCGCTTAGAAGGCTACTTTAACTATTAAATCGATAGGTATTCTTCTAAGCTTAGTAAAGAACAGAACATAGGCTATTCGAAGTACCTTAATAATAACTACTTTAATAAGGTAGTGCGCCTTGTTTCTATATACAGTCTTAAACTAGTAGAAGGTTAGCGAGACCTAGCTAAGAACGAGCTCTCAAAGATGTAGTCTAACCCCGATTTTATACCTAAACTATACTCCGGCGGCTTCCGTAGAACCTTCGGTCTACCGTACCGTTATAAGCAACGAGCGCTTCTTACTTCTAATAGACGACGAGTCCTTAAAGTCCGGTTGTTTAACAGCTACTAGTAGGTACCTAGTAGCACTATAACTGCTATAAAGCAGTTAGAAGATAGGAAACTTAACCCTCTTAAACGGAAGCAGAAGCGTAAGGTAAAGGCTATACGGAAGGCTCGTAGCATACTTAGTAGTACGAGAAGGTTAGTAACTAGACCTAAACGAGTAGACCTAGGTAACAGAGCTACGCCGCTACTAGGTTACGAGACACTAACTATTATTAACTAGCAAGAGGCTATTCGTAACGCCGAGCCTAGTCGCACTGTACCTCTAATTACTTACTTACAATCGACTTAGCGAAGGAAGAAGAGGTATATATACTAGCGGAGCTATACGAGTCGCTACGGCTATAGAAGTACTAGTAGTTGCACTTTAGCTTACTATAGTAACGACTTTCTATATACTTAGCAACCTTCGAGACCCTTATCTACGGCTCTAGTAGGTGCGGCTTCTATAGGTCTTCCTATACTAGTAGAAACACTAGTTAATTAGTCCCCCTAGCAGCTACTACCTAGTTCTATACCGCTGCTACTACCTAGTTCTATGCCGCCGCTACTACCTAGTTCTATACCGCCGCTACTACCTAGTTCTATACTTCCGCTACTACCTAGTTCTATGCTTCCGCTATTAAGCTAGTAGATACTACCGCCTAGCAACTAACAATAGTACTTTACTCTAAGCTAGTAATAGTAGTATATAGTTAACTAGCAATTCAACTATAGCTACGGAGCCCTTAGCAACCTCGTGCCTAACTATAAGCGTTACTACTCGAGCTAGAATACAGGTATATAGTACGACTACCCTCTCGCGAATAGCCGGCCTATAGGGCACGATCCTATATATGTTGTAGAGCCTCGAAATGCTAGCAGAGTACACTAATATTGTAACTAGTTGCTATTTATATAGTCTACTACTATTAAGAAGTCTGTTTCGAGGTCTGCATTTACTTATTCTACTAAAAAACCTAGTCTACCTAACCCGGAACTTACTTACCTACCGCTATAGTATTATATACTCTCGCGCACGACATTATTATAGGCGTATCGTATAGTAATCGGTCGCATTGCTTAGCATTATATAAGGAACCGGTAGTTGCCGAGATTCTAATATATTAGGATAAGATTCTAATTTAGTTATATAGCCTATATAGCGTCTCTACACTTCGGAGTAAAAGTAACTAGGGCTAGACCGCTAAATAACAAGTAACTATTCGCTAGAATCCTTGCTTCTTAGGGATTTAGTAAATACCTACTTTCACTCCGAGGTGTTTATAGGCGCTATATGCAATATTAGCCCTAGTCCGGAATACGAGAAGCTTCCTCCTAAAACGGAAGACTAGTAGGTTAAGACCGGCCTACTAGTTTATATAGTCGATTAAACGAGGCCTATTCTAGTACGGCAGTTAACTTAATCTAATCGTCGCTATTCTATTAAGTATATAGCTAATAGAACCGTAGTTGTTAGAGGTGTTCCTAGTAGTATACTCGGGAGGCTAAATTTGCTAGGCAAATTCGAGTAGGTAGTACGGCAGTATTTGCGCCTACCTGTTCTCGACTTAGTTCTTTTAACCCTAGTTATACTATAGCCCTTACTTGAAACTACGAAATAATACTCGGACAATCGATAGCGATAGTATAGAGGTATTAGAGGCTCGAGCGTAAAGGAAATAGCAGTCTATAAGTGTTATTATAGTGCCGACCGAAGAAGCTCGAAGCTTACCTTAAATCCGGAGAACTATAACAATGCTATCTAATTAACTATTTTTAGCGTACGGCAAAGCCCTACTAGATTAAACAGCCTTTTATCTATGCTCGACGCGTTCTTAGGCTATATTCGGTCCGACTAGTTCTAGCTAGGCTGTATATATAATACTATATATATTCGCCTATTGCTAACTCTATAGTTGTAAGTGCGATATCCCGTACGTAGCGGTCCTAGTATAAGAAGGGTTATATTAGCAGGTAGATAGGGTAGTAGTAAATTAGTATAGTATTCGATAAGGATCTAGGAGGAGAGGGAGGAAGGTAGGAGAGTTGGCCTAACGCTAAGCGCTAAGCCCTGCCTAAGGCATTAAGACCCTAGCTTTACTCGGCCTAGTTACATACTATTACGGTTACTCGCGACAGATCGTTAAGTGACTTCTTATTACGTACAAGCCGAGGCTTCTTTAGAGAGGCTAATACAAGCGGGAGGTAGAGACAGAATAATTAGTATAAAGGTAATTCTAATTAGTAAGTAGGTAACATAAGTTAAACGCCTCGAGCTATAAGGGCATTCCGGCGTTCCTAAATACAAAGGAGATATCTTGTCTATAGTCGTAAGCGACGTAAGCGACGCTGTCGCTCTCGACCGCTCCTATCGCTCCTAGTAAGATAGAGCGACAGCTTAGCCTACTAGTCTTAGCGTCGCTCTAAGATTATATAAGGACTCTAACTAATTAGATCCGTAATACTATCCCCCTCCTTAAGCGGAATAGTCCCTTATTCCGGGACTTTCTAATTCCAACTTCTTTGTTATACTAAAGTTATCTAAGGATTTGTCTTCTCGCTAGCGTAAGGAAAATATCGTAAATAATATCCTCGCCGACTACCTCGAAATACCGATCCGCTGCTTTTATTACGAATAGGCCGGTAAACCTTATAAAGTCGATCTTCGTTCCGGTCGCTACTCCGAGTGCGCCCTATACGGCTAGTCCTATAATATACAAGTTACTCGTATAGAGTATAAAAAAATCTAGAAGGCGCGCCTAAAGATAGCTAAAGATCTCGAAGCGGCCGAAGAGGAGGAGGACCTCCTTACGCGGAAGCTTTTCGAGTACCGCGTAAAGGTCCGTCGCTTACGTAAGTCGTTACGTATAAAGGAGGATCGGGAGATATAAGCTCTTAAGGCAGAGGAAGCCTCTATTTAATAGGCGGAGGAGCTCGAAAGAGAGCTAGGCTCTTCGCCTATAGAGCCGATAATATTCTCGTTGCCTACTAACGAGCCGTTTCCCCTAGATAGCCGATTATAGATATCGCCTTATAACTAGAGTCGTCTAGATAGGACATCCTAGCCTGTCTCTAAAATCCCTAGTAGGAGTGCCGAGAGTCTAGTATCCTAAAGGTATATATTTTTAATGTTTCCTATCTATTTTATCTTCTAGCTAGTTAGTCTAGTAGTATAATTCTTAGCTATAAAAGACATAGTTGCTAGGTATGCTATTAGAGTCCCCGCTCCTCGAGCTATACTGCCCTAGGTCGTTAAGAACTCTAAGGCGCTATAATCGATAGGGTCTAAGAGGTCGTAGGTTCAATTCCTATACTAGTTATTTCCTTTTTGTCCGGTTTTGATATTTTTTAATTATCTGCTAACAGTTCTGCAGGTTTTCTTTTAGTTCCTAAGTGTTTTCTAAATGTAGGTATCCTTTCTATTTAACAAGGTATTTCTAACCTTGCTAATCTAGGATTTCCTCGACTTCAAACTTATTTTCTTCCTTAGGTTAGAAGTGAAATGTTTCTTAATACGGTGTTTCGGCGTCTATAGGTTCTAGTATAGAGATATAGAATACTAGGTGGATTTTCGCGTCGTCCG